CCAATTCGCCGGTCGATCTCTTCCTCCAACTTTCCATCACTAGTAAATATAGTTCCGAGGTACTTGAATTGCGAACTTATTCTAACTTCTCAAATATTATATAAACGTCTTTTATCATGCCCTTGTTGCTTCATTTGTACATTATTGCCCAGATGAAGACGCTAGCGTGCAGCGTCGAAGCGCGTCGGTAAAAAAGGATTTTACGTCGTCCTTTTTAACTGTTGCTTGAACCGTGAATTGGGAAGCAAAGATCATAAAGTGTTAAACCGGGTAACATATTAAACTGCATACCTCAGGTATATCAAAGAATGTAATGCCGTTCGATCCCTACTTTGTTTTGTTCAACAGAACTAGGCAAGGATTCGTTTACTAGCAGTTAAATTTGTTTTTTATCTCTACCAATGATGAGGGCATTCCCTGCATTAAATCCATGATCACGGTGGCTCCGGTGTGTTCAGTTAATGACACCTTAAGAGTCTTGCTTGCTTTCCGCTGTATGTAACATTGCGAGAATTGAAATTTACCTTATATACTACGTTTAATCTCTTCACTAGGACGAGCCTGAAATTTTTTGTATAACAATCTATGGCCGTACCCTTACTAAAAAAGCATTAAAATCATTACATGGTTGAACATTTCATGCGTTGGTGGTCATATTGAAAATAGCATAAGAGACGGTTTTGTGTTTCATATATGTTACGCTGCTTTCAGTTAGGTCAATTCTCTGATAAAAACTGACGGATTTCTTCTAATATGCCAGGAATAAAGGGAATTGCCCCAGGTTATTGGCATTCTGCATTGTTGGATGGGCCGTATTTGGGATGATTGAATACAGAGTCAGCTGTCTCTGATATGACTGTTTTTTCGAAATGTAAGTGCATAATCTGCTTCTTTAGCAATTTCCTATCGCTGCCATATCTCAAAGCTCTTAACCTCATGCACTCATACTTTTATAATAAAAACAGAACATGGCGTATTAGAGGATGGATTCAAATGTCGATTGGAGTGGGTTGCTTTCCTGTCAACTGATAAAGTAGTTGGATTACCGCCGTTACGTTTGAGGAGTACATCTAAAAACAGCACGTTATGTTATTCGCGTACTGTTGCGAATCTTTTATTTCAACCTCTACAACGCTACATACCAGCAAGGGCATGGAATTCTGATAGGCTCGCCATTGAGTGTTACGCTGGTCGAGATTTATATGGATAGGCTTTAAGCTAAGATCCTTAATGAATGTCCTCCTGATATTAAGCCAGCTTTATGCTTATGTTGCAAAGTAACGATAATATAGTATAATCTTGCTTATAAATGAAGATAACTTTATTGATAAATTTCAAAGTTATTTTGATAATCAGAATCATAAAAATAAGTTTAAGTTCTCAGCAGCTTTCCATTGGTTGTATATTCTTATCCGTTAATCAATGCTACTTAAAGGAATTATTCGTTACTACCGATGTGGCTCTGGATTTCTTATATTCAGACATTGATTGTTTTTGATTTGGAGCTCAGACTGAATGATTTTGCGAAGCACTATGGAAAACGCGATAAATACAGTCATTTGTGTTGCAGGGTGTGACGTGGCCATCAAGCCAGACTTTGTTTTCACAGTGGACTCATCAGAGCGAGAAAAGTACATTGCCAGCGTTCGCCCTCTGCGGTATGGCGATGGAAAATATGTGAAAAATTTGCGTATTATTTTAAACAACCGTAGGGTGCAACATCGGAACTTTAATAACATTTCTGATATCTGGATATCTGTGCAGCTCGTCGTTTATGGGCGGTTGGCCGTCA